TCAAAACCAAATCCTAAAAGAGGTCGCCGAAAATCAGCCCAAATTCAAAGATGCTGTCGTAGGACCCCTAGAAATCATACAATATCAAAAGGAAAATCCTAAACAGTCCTTACAGCGAAAATTCCCTCCCAAATCCCTCAAACACGTGACCAAATGTGCGCCTCATGAACCGTAGTGCTTGATCGCCCGTGCGGGAGAGCGAAAAGTTAGCCTCTATCGCTGGTCGGGTCCCTGTTAGGAACCGCTACGACCGTCTAACAATACTTCCCCTTCCCAAAATTCATTTGTCCTCTATGGGGAGAATAGCTTCGTGTTCCCGTGGGGTGGCTCATCCTTGAGTTGGCTACAAAACATTACTGAATGCTGAATCAAGGATGCATTGAAAGAGGAAACATCCCTTTCCCTCTTCAAATCTTGATCATGCTATCCATTCATGTGTAGTCCCACTAGATAATATCCCCACATTATAATGTTTCTAACCTATGGTCTTAAGTGATACCAGGCTTTGGATAGCCTTAACATCTTCCCCTTATAACCACCTTCTTTCAATCCACCGTTAATTTCATCGTGAGTTCCCCCAAGGTTTGCAACCACTTTATCCCCAGGATGACATCAGTACTTCCTAACTCTAGTGGAAGAAAATCCTCCCTTACCTGAATCCCCTGGATGATCAACACCACTCCTCTATAGATACCCTGGCCTTTCTCCCTTACTTGAATCCCTAAGAGTGATGTATTTGCTCAATGTGGAGTTCGAAATGAATAATCTTGGTCCTGCCAAGAAATTCTTGAAATGGAGATCATCAAAGATAAAGAAACAAAAGAATTTCTATTCACAAGGGGACATAAATCGAGAAGATTGTGGACAGGTTTGGGATAGCAGCTTCTAAACTAGTTTCTCACCCCTAACACAGCATATAAGGATGAGCAAGAATCAAGCACCAAGTGATGATATTGCAATATTATACATGACAAAAGTTCCCTAGTAAGATATTATGAATAGTGTTATGCATGCTACAATTTTTTTAAGTCAAATTTAACTTACTTGCTCATCATTATAAGTAGGTTATCCAAAGAGGAATCATTCCAAAGCTATAAACAAGGTGTTGCAGCACTTAAATGAAACATAACTTTATGATTGTGGTATAGAAATATGATTCAGTAAAAGAAATGACTGCAGAGTTCGTATATCCAAATTTTTTAGATTATTTAGATACTTGAATATCACGTATAGATTATGTATTTAAGGTGCTATGAAATTCCATTAGTTGGTAGGTAATTTAAAACTAATTGTGGTCTTATATATAATAGAAGCTAAACACGTTGTTGCTTCAGAAGCAATGAAAGAAGCATCATAATTCAAATGATTGATTTTTTATATGCTAATGTGCTCAATGCCAACAAATGTATTTGTATTTTGTGAAAATCAAAATGATGCATTCCTCACCAAAAAGCACATGTATCATGAAAGGTCTAAGGCTCTAAGCACATAGGTGTGAGGTTTCATTTCATTGAAAAGGCAATTGCTAATTGGATTATAGAGATTGTGAAAATTTTACCAAATGATAATGCATTGATATGTTGACAAAGGCACTAGCTTCCTCAAATGTCAGCATTGCTTGGACTTGGTGAGGTTAGTGAGGGAGAAATTTTGATGTTGTTTTCTCATCTCTTTGTGGTGAAGATTGTTGTATTGGTTCTTTTATTTCACTATAAGCTCGTGTCAGATTTACACTAGTTTCTTGTTGAGAAGAGTATTTCTGTGATTTTTTTTTTTTTTACATCTCTACCATCAGGAGTGGCTATAAATACGCACCTCCTTCACAAATTGGAAAAAAATTGGATTTCATTCCTCAAGTGAATAGCATTACCTGTCTTTATCTTCCTACTTTATTGTCCCTATTTCTGAATTCTTGGAGATATGATATTTTGATTATGCTGCAAGAACTGAATTAAGGTTTTCTAAAAGCAAGGTGGCCTCTTATTTCTTGAAGGAGTTATCTCTACATCTAGCGACTGTACGTTAAAGGTGGCTTGTAGGTCGATCCCAATTCAAAGTGGGAAGCCTCATTCAATGTCCAAGAAACCAAGAATAGAAGCTAAAGGTAAGGATTTAACACCAAGTTCACATACAACAAGTAAAATACAAAAGAATTATCTATTCAAGATGCTAGGGGACTTACACTGAAAAGGCATACCAATGCATCCTACCTAGGGGTTGTTTGTTTGACTAAAAAAATATGCATCGTAAAAAATATGTAGTGTAAAAGAAATGCAGTATAAAAGAAATACTTTGGAATTGTTTGGATGAAAGTAAAGGAAATGCAAGTGAGTATTTTTTTTTTTATTTGGTTTGAAATAATGAATATAGTATAAAGTCCAAAAATGGTGGCGGCCGATGGGGAAGGTGGTGGTGGTGGTAGTGGCTGACAGCATTGATCGATGGTGGTCGTGGCCTATGGCGGTTGTGGCCGTAGCTGACGTTGGTGGTGGTCACCAGCATCGGGTGGTGGTGGCCAGCAGTATGTGGTGGCCGGTCGTGGATGGCATTTTTGAAGTGGGGCTGGTGGTAGCGGCCAGTGGTGACCTATGGTGGGCGGAGGGATGCGATCAAGCGAGCTTGCTTGTGGTGTACATGATTTTAACTTAAAACTGTGTGAGTTTGATTTACTTAAAAAATGAACTTAAATGTTTTATTATTTTATACTATATTTACTTTACTTAGTTCCACTTTGTATTCTAAACAAACACCAAATTTTTTAAAACCTCAGCATTTGAAATACTTTACACCACTTTGTATTCCAACCAAACAGCCCCCTACTCATAGTCAAGCGCCTCCTCCAAGTCTAAAATCCACTTGATCAAGTAACATTGATTCATATAATAATATGGACATTCCTATTACTCATAGGAAAGGTGTAAAGACTTGCAACAAACCCCCAATTTCAATCTTTATTCCATATGAAAGATTATTGCCTAATTTTAATGTCTTCACAACATATCTTTTTAGCATTTAAATTACAAATAGCAGTCACGAAGCACTAAATATTTATCAATGGAGAAAAGTCATTTATGAAGAAATCCAAGCTCTTGAAAGAAATGATGCCTAAAAATTTTACAACATACCCAAAGGGAAAAAATTTACTCAATACAAATAAATCCTTAATGTCAAATACAAAGTAGACAAGAGTGCTGAATGATACAAAACTAAATTAGTTGCAACAATATTTCCTTAAACTTATGGAATTCATTATCAAGTGACTTTGTTCATGTTGTTTAAGATTAATATTGTTTAGATTATATTTTCTGTAGTTATAAATTTGGATTGGCCACTTCATCAATTAGATATAATCAACGTCTTTCCAAATGGAAACTTAAAAGATGAAGTCTATATGTTGATCCTTCCAAGATTTTAAATTACCAGCATAAGTGCACAAACTCGAGAAATTGCTACATGACATAAAATAATCATAAAAACCCTGATTTTACAAATACACCATGGTGGTTAAGAGGCATAGACAATCTCAACAACAACACTCTACTTACCAAAATGTCATCTAAAGGTAAAATTACTACCTATATTATAAATGTTGCTAACATCATCTTGATAGCCAGCATAAATAAAAGATAAATAAGTTGAGAGGTATTATGGCCAAAGAATTTGAGAGCAAGTATCTTGGTTTATCAAAGCCTTTTTTGGAATGGAAATAGTAAGACCAAGCAAGGGATTATCAATATCTAAATGAACATACACCTTAGATTAACTATAAGAAATCAGTATGCTCGAGTGAAGCTTGCTAACACTCTAATGGATCCCTTAAACAAAATTGGGTCTAAGGCAGATACAAAATAGATTAACAAAGGTAGGTACTAATGATGAGTAGGAAAACTTATCTACCTACTATCTTGCCCTGGACCCAATCTCAACTTCCTTGTCGATGTAGTTAGTTATTTCATGAATATCACTACAAAAGAACATCTTCATGACACATATTATACCCAAAGGTATCTTAAATGACACCTAAAAAAGGGTTATTCTTGAAGAAAGGGATTAAAAAGAGTAGAAATCTTCATTGAAGATAACTGAGTGGGAAATATAACTAATCAAAAATTGAATTAGGTTATTATTATTTTTTCTGCAGAAATTTGGGTGCTTGGAGAAATAAATAATAATTAGATTGCTCATAGCACTGCAGAAGCTGAATTTAAGGCTCCCATAAAATTTGTAACTCTCCTATGCTGGTTTCTGGTTTCTAGTTTTCTAAAGCAAGTTGTATTACTTTCTGCTCTCCAATGGATCATGGAATCTCTATGATTTTCTGGCCATCAGTTTTCATTTATAAGACAAAATCAATCAGCATTCAACTTTCTTAATTATGTATTTAGGATCTGTTTTGTTATAATTTTATATTTCTTTCCTTGTTTCACTAATACTAAGCCCTCATTTTCCAAAATAATTTCACCATTATTTTTAATTTTCTAGATTTCACTTAATGTCAAAACAAGTAAGCTATGCCTCAAGTAAATATTGAACCTTCACTAGTCATAAATGATGAAGGATTACAAGGCAAGGTTATAACCAGGGACGGTGCTAGGATACTGTACAATAGATAAGTTTCAAGACCTCACCAACCTAAGATTGTTACCTGCCCGAAGCATTATAAATGTTATCACTATTTTCTCAAACAGAAACTACATTAACCTACTTCCATTAACCTAGCAGAGAAAAAACACATTCTAGAACCAAAACATGAAGTCAGAACAATGAAGAGGAAAGAGATGTTCGCATAATTAGAAAAAATTATAATAAATTAGGGATCGACTAGTACAAAATCAAGTATTTATCATGAATTTTGGCCTGAGTTCATTTAAACGAGTTTCTCATAAAGGAAAGATAATTGGAAAGAAATCTTAGGGCGACTTATGCGAGCAATATATAGCATGACATGAACGCAATAACATGCATTAAAGAAGATCAATCCTTAGATAATGATTATCTACCTCCTGAAGTTTCTTCATTACAAATGCTTCATAATTTTGAAAGCCAGCTCCGACAACATTGTTAAATTCAGGGCCCATGCTCTCGTTATGATTAGTAGACGAGGTACTAGAAAAACTGGGTGCCATAGGTTCCAGTGGAAGAACAAGCAATGGATTTGTTGTGTCACCACTCATACTTTGTATAGCTCTTACCTGATGAACGAGAAAAAATAAGCTTCAATCTTAACCATCAAATTGCATATTAGCATGTAAATATGCAGATGACAAGTTTCTTACATTACTCTGCTAATAATTCTAGCGAGAAAAAAATCCAGATAGTACCGGATAATAATAACCAGTCAAATTTTCCATGTTCATAGCATGTTAATCACAAATAAAATACTTTTCATTTCACCAATGATTCGAGCATTTTTCTCTACAACAATGCATCACACCTGATCCAAAATTCTGCTTACATACATGCAACATGCACATGACCTAAGTGCACTTTGTTTGGTCGGCTAAAAAAAGGAATGCAATGCAAAAGAAATGCTTCGGTGTTGATGGGATGAGCATAAAATAAATGCAGCTAAATGCTTTTTTATTTAAGTAAAATGAATGTTAAGTCCAAAGATGGTGGGGGCACCGGCGAATTTGCTTTAACATAAAAATGAATTAAACATTTTACAATACATTCCTTTTACTTCACTCTGCATTCCTTTTACTTCTAACAAAATACCAATATTTTTAAAACCCGTGTAAAAATGATTACTTTACAACTAATTACTTCAAACCAAACAACCCCCTAGTTAAAATTAATCTCATTAAAATATAAAAAAAAAACAAAAGAACGAATATGAATGCTTTTATAGTTAGGTGACTCTTTTAGGAATATTGTATGGACAAGAGAGAAAAAAATAGAAAGTAAAAAGTTTTTAGAATATTGAGATGATTTCTTCATTCACCTTGAGCGTATATATCTTACCCACCTGAAACACCTATAAGACATTGATCTATTGTTGTAAAACTTCTAAAATATACCCATAAAAGCACGCAAAATTATTCTGAAATAATCCAAAGATAAAGGCAGCTGAAACTAATAGGTCAGAAAAGGTACACCCAAAAAAGGTATTAGCATAGCAGAACAAAACATGATTCAAATGTATTTGTTACTGCTCTAAAACATAACATGAAAATCAGGTAACTCAGAACTTAATAAATAGAAGACTAATTCCACAACTGAACAAGCAAAATACAGTGAAAAAGATAAATTCTTTCTATAGAACTACACATCAAGCTAAATCCAAAATAAAGTGAGGCATTAGGAGTCATTTAAAATAACAACAAAATCTGCAGAAAAAAAATATAAACAGAAATTAAGAAAACATTTTAGCACAATAAAGAGTAAGAAAAACTCATGTGACAATAATAATAAGTTTTAAGCCATCTCTCCAACCTGTAATTTCCATCCATTTCAAGAAGCTTAAGTTGAGCAGATGCCGAAAAAAGAATTTAAACCCTACGCTAGTTGTTTATCAAAGTGGATTCTCAATGAATTCAAATAAAATGTTAAGAAAATAAGATTCTTTAACAAATTAAAAGGGCCCGACATATCGTAGCTTCAATACTTAGACCACATAGGGAGCCTCAAAACCAATAGATAATCTCTTTTGATTTTGGAAAATTAGTATCAGAACATAGAAATGTGATTTTGCTGAAACATTTCAATTTAGCAAGTAAACATTCTTTATAATTTTTGAGGAATATATAGGAAAAGTAGCATTTAAAACTAAAATATAAACTCTTATAATCAAAATATAATAGAAAGAATAGCTGAAATACAAACAATTATTCAAGTATAGGAAACTGAAAATGGAAAACCAAAACCACCCAAAAAGAAAGAGACACTAAACAATTTTTACCGACATTACCGAAAGTCAAGAGAATATTCTACTTAACGGGAGTAATATAAATAGATCGCTATGTCCATTAAGCACAACATGTTGCTATTTAGAGATATATAAATCATGATGCATTCCACTTTTCCTTCCCCATCAATTACAAAAAAATTACGCAAGATCTTAATGCATTTAACTTCTTAAGGTCTCACCAAAATTTAGCTTCCTTGTAAATTGTTACTTCTATTTACTTTCTAAATCTCAAGAAACACACAAGTAGTGTAAAATGAAGCACAAACTTGGTGCATTTTTTCACAATCTCAATTAAAATCTACCATGGAACTTTGATTAGGTACATCAAAAGCTAGTCAAACTTGAAAAAAACACTCATCGAGATCTCACAAACAACAAAACAATAATTGTTGGGATACACCTAGAGACAATGCAACCTATGATCCCTTCTCTGACATCCATGTTGAATCTCAACAATAAGATGCCACTCCGTCGAATCTCATTCCCAAGGATCCTATCAATCAAGGGGTACCAATAAAGGATCCTGAATTAATAAGGCAATGGTGTTGATAAATATAATCATATGTGAACAAGATTATAAATGGAGGAAGAAGGATCATAAATAAATATTAGGGGATAATTAGTTATTCAATAGAGTATTTGAGCTCCTTGTTTATAAAAGTTTAAGATTTAGAGACATGCTCAAAAAAATTTAAAAATTGTATCCTTCATAAAAAAGACTAAACTACAACGACTATTTCAAAATTTCCCAAAATCATAAGTTTTGACGGAAACTGTATGATAACAACCAACTAAGTGTGTCGCTTTGTTAGAGCTTAAGGAAAGAAAAATAATAAATCAAATTTAATTATATCTAAAACATGTGAAGATTGAGAAAGGCAATTGTAGAACCAACCGACTAAAGATGCCTTAGACCATTCAATTTAGCCCTTTAACAAATATGCCATGCCCAAGCAAGCATTAAGGGGCTCAAGGATTCTTTTTCTCATTTTTTCTCAAAGTGTATTCCTAAAATAATAAAAACTAAAAAGTAAGCTACTCTATCTTAACAAAGAAGTCATCTTCCTATGATAACCTTTCATTTATGAAATTAAAAGGACAGACACAACTTATCAGGAGACGGGATTGAAACATGGGAAGAATATATCAAGCAGTTGAAATGTAACTCATACAAAAGTCCTTTTGTAAACAAAATTGCTCTACAAAAGTAAAATTGAGCTAGAGATGATTTTGACAAGGAGCTAAAAAATAAAATTTGAGATCAAGAATATTGAGAATTCTTTTTTTAATGTTAGACTATGATATGATTTATCAAATAAAGATGCCCTTATTTTAGTAAAATGGATGTGTTTTTCACGGTCATGAAGTTTTTGAGGGTTTGTATGAGAAGGGTTTAAGAAAAAAAAGTGGTATCACATTTTCGCAATAGAAATAATGACATAGCTTACTTTTTTTTAATTAATCTAGGATATTTTTCAAAGATGGAAGGACAATACAAACCTATGTAATTAACTTCAAGATACAGGTTGGAGTAGTTTTTTAAAGGTTAGGGTTCGCAGCAGCTACTGAGGGGACATTTAGTATTACCATAGTTATTGAGATTACTGATATTTGGCAGGGGCCATTTCAAATGAAAATTTTCCTTAATATCCTTGTTTATATGATGATATCTCACAAAAATAATCATCTCCCGTGAGGACAACAAATCCACCAACATTTCAACAACAATAAGTTTATGAAAAATTGCATGGTAGGGTAACCAATGTCATCCTGCCACTGGTTGGGAGAAGGAAAAACTTCAGAGAATGAAAGAATGCTAACCGTGGCCACAAAGAGGTGAATGATGTGTGATATAAACCAACATAGGTACTGACGATAGGATTTTAAGCAGTAGAGATGGAAAATGAACTCCAATGAAATGATACGGCATTAAGTCAGAGCCTTCACTTAGTGGAAAACAGACATATATTGAATATTCAATAACATTAAAATATACTTATCGTGCAGATACTGTTGTGCAACCTTTAAAAATCTCAATGTTCACACTATATTTCATAAAATAATTAAAACTTTGTAGGATACAAATTTTTCAAAGGACTAAAACCCCAAACCTATCCTTTGGACGTAAAGAGTAACACAACTAAGCCAGAAATTTGTAATATACAACTGGGTAAAACAAAAGATTTAATTAGATCAGATTTTCATTTCCAATAGTTGAAATAAATTTGAACTTTCTTCTTTTAGTTCAAACTAATAAACTGAAAACATGTCATCTGACGATCAACATGACATGATATCTTAATGTTTAGTGCATTCTTTAAATGTAAATGAACTCCATAATGAGTTACCCAATAGTGAATTCCAATTTATACATATAGAAATATAGAGACAAACATGCCAATACAATTTTGTTAATCAAATGCAATAATGAGATGCGTGCATGAACACCTCAAATACAAAATAAAAAATAAGAGCTCACCACAGCATCTTTGGAAGCCATTACAATAATAGCTGAAGCCTTCTTCTTTGAACTCTTTGACCGGATCACAACATCCTCAACAATGCCAAACCTCGCAAAAATTCCCCGTAGCTTGGCAGCACTATAATCGCCAGCACTTGTCTCCCAAGTGACCTTCAACATCCTCCCTTTATCCAAGCCTGGACCTACCTTCTCTTCTGCTGCCTTCTCTTTCCCGTTCTGTTAAGCATAAACCAAGCAGATCGAATAAATAAGAGTAAATCCATTTTAACAACATAAATGGATAGATATCTGATATCCATCTTTGCTCATCAGGAAAAAATAAGTATTTCAAAGGAACAAACAAAGGGGCTGTTTGGATGCACCAAAATTTAATTCAGATAGGATTTTGTAAATCCTCTAAATTCGGATTTACTAAATCCTAGGGGTGAGCCCCTAAGGATATCTCATTAAACAATGCTAGGGTCATCAGCAAACATAATAGATCTCAAGACAGTCCGATCTGAATTTTGCAACAAAAATTCGTAAATCCCCTTGCTTAAAGAGGACTAAGAATAAATTAAAAAGGTTTTCTTTTTCCCTTGTTTAAACAGGATTAGGAATAAATTAAAAGGCATTCTTTTCAAGTATACATAAACACAAGAATGGAAGCGCAATATATGATGTTAATGGCATATAAGAAATGTTTACGGTAATTTATCAAATAAATACGGTAATTTATCAAATAAAAAAGCAGACTCGGAATGCTCATGCGATTTAATGCACAAAACTGACGCTAAAAGAACAGCAAGGCCAACGAACTCTACCCGATTAATTTAAGAGAAAGTTCTGCCCAGTCTTACCGGCTCAGAAGCCTTCTTCGCGCGCCTTGCTTTGAACTCCGCGATCTCCCTTTTCAACTCATCCGCCTTCATCTTTTCCTTCCGACGGCCCTGCTCAGCCGGATCGACAGCCGCAGCTGCAGATCGCTCCCTCTCATCAAGATCAGTGGCCATTTTTCGGCGCTTTGCGTCCTGAAGTGAATCCCGTAGGACACGTTCGCGTCGAGCTCGGAGCTTTGCATCAAAACAACAGCGTGACATCTCGTCACGGAGAACCTCAAATGAGGAGGTCAGAAGCTGGAAATCTGCGGTGGCATTTGGATCATTGGGGCGCTTGTCCGGGTGGCGGATGCGAGACTGATTCTTATAGGCTTTCTCGATCTCTTTAAGAGATAGCTTTGATCCTTCCTCACCGGAGGGTAGGCCGAGAACGGCGTAATGGTCAGCATCATCTTCCGGTGATGATCGACCTCGTCCATCACCGCCTGCCATCAGAAATTACTGCTACGGCGTACGATCTCCCTAGGGGGCTGTTTGGTATGCGGATTTAGGCCGGATTTAAGGCCGGATTTGGGCGAAATCCAGCCAAACGGCCTAAAATGCAAAATCAAATCTCACGGTAAATGAAAGCCGCGGTTGACGGAAAATTCCCTCTTATCGTGGTAATCCCGGATTTACGAAATCCATTGGTTCGGCGGATTTACGGGATTTGACCGAAGAAGCGCGCGAAAGGGAGAAAGTTACCTTCACAGCAAGTGAGCTCCCGTTGTTGCTTCAGATCAAAAAAATGTCGTAACTTCCGATCTAACAGGAAGTCGTCGAAGGAGCAAAGTCGAACGCCGACGAAGCCGAACGAAATACAGGACGGAAAAGTAAAACCTAGACAATTCTACTTGTTAGATAATTTAATTAATATAATTTAAAATATTAATAATTAAGTAAAATTAATTAAATAATATTTAAATAATTGATAAAATTATTAGTTAAATACTTAGTTATTTCAAAATAATTAATAGGATTAAATATGATCTAAAATAAAAATAATTATTATAAAACATTATAAATAATAATTAAATAATTAATTTTTATTAATAAATTTTTGTTATATTTTATTCAAATTTTTCTTGTCGTGTTTTAATTATCTTAATAATGTATGTCAACTCTTTTAACCTCCTTAAATCCTAAGTTGAACAGTCAAACAGCATTTTATTGGATTTATCATGAATGTTACCAAACAATTTTCAGGATTTAACCCCTCAGGATTTCGTAAATTCGGATTTGGAGGATTTATGAAATCCTACTTAAATGAAATCCTAGATTCTACCAAATAGCCCCTAGGATGGTGTTGGGTAGCAAGATTTATGCCGGATTTGAGACGGATTTCAGCAAAATCCAGCCAAATGACCTAAAATGCAAAACCAAATCTCACGATAAATGAAAGCCGCCGTAGACGGAAAATTACCCCTTTTTCATGGTAAATTCCAGATTTCTGAAATCCTCTGATTCGGTGGATTTACGGGATTTGGCCCTAGAAGCGCGTGAAAGGGAGAAAGTTAACTTCGCAGCGAGAGAGCTCCTGTCATTGCTTCCTATCAAAATGTCGTAACTTCCGATCCGCAGGAAGGAAACGCCTTCGAGGAGCAAAGTCGAATTGCAACGAAGGAGCCGAAGAAGAAGAAACAAAGAAATACAGGGGAGCATTAAACCGAAGGGCTATGCTACATAGAGAAAAGAGTAAAAAGTAGAATAATTATTTAAAATGAGTAAACTAATTTTAATAATTATTATTCATTAATTAATAAAGTATTCATTCATGTAAATTAATATTATTTAACATTTATTTTAATAAAAATTATTATAATTAATTAATTAATTAATTAAGATATTAAATTATATTAATTATAATTTTATTTCAATTTATTAAAAAAATTTAATTAGCTATAACTAATACTAATTTTATTTAATTTATTTAAATACAAATGATGAGTTAATTAACTAAATAAATTAGTAATTAATAAATAATCTATTTGCTGATTAAATTTTGTATGATTTAAATAATCTATTTTGAAAATTTGAGGTTTACAACTATTTCGAAATTACTTTCTTATAAGTTTAAATAACTCTAAAAAATATTAATATTAACTAAATGAAAGATTATTTAAAATGAGTAAACTAATCTTAAATCTATGTTATTGTTGTGTTTTTTTTTAGAAACTTTGTTGTATTTTATTTAAACTTCTGTTATTATACTTTAATTATCAAAGAAATACTTGTCAAATCTTTTAACTACTTTAAATCCTGAATTGAATAGTCAAACAGTCACACAAGATTTAATAGGTTTTATCATAAATATTAACAAACAGTTTTCAGGATTTAACCCCCCCTAGAATTTCATAAATCCGTATTTAGAGGATTTATGAAATCCTACTTAAATGAAATCTTATGTGTTATCAAACAGGCCCTAGGGCTGGTTAGGGCACAGAACAAAGAAATTTTGTGGAGAGCGATCAAAACTGTTACGATTGTTTGACAACAGGATTTAAATAGTATTTGAACAGGCTTTAGCATAAATCCTACAAAATAGGATTTATACTTGGCATAATAAATCTATCGTTGCCACTTTTTGTGGTAAATCTCAAATTTACTAAATCCAGGAGTTCAACGGATTTATGGGATTTAATTTGGCTGAAGAAGTGCATTAAAGGGATAAATTTCTTACCTTCGTGAAGATGGAGAACCCTCCCATCATTGTCGTTCCTTCTTATCCAATAGTAGAATTGCCAGCTGTCACGACTTCCGATCTGACATGAAGGAACGCCGTCCAAGGAGGCGAAAAGCAACTCATGCAAAACGCTTACCAATAAGTGATCGAGAAACCAACTTAGGCGAATTCGAACAACTCGAGAAGAGGAAACAAACCCTGCATAGTGAGAAATTATTTGATGCGGATGTAGCTCTACGTCCGAACTAAAATATCGTGCCCTAACGTGGTGACCGGACAACCTCACTATTCATATATACCAATAAAATTATAATATTTTTTTTTAACGTTTTTTTATAATTTATCATGCAACTCGATGACCTGACCCAGTCCATAGTCAAAATTTTAAGTTTAACTAAAAAGAAACCCACGTAAAACGTTAATATCTGGGGTTTTGGATTATTTTGGCCACCTGAGGCAGGATTGCTCCAAAGAGGTTTGTAATATTTCTCCGAAAGCTTGAAGGAAATGAGAAAATTTGGATATGAAGATAGAAACCAATTTGGAGGACGTCAAATTCTCCGAGGAGATGGAAGGCATTACGCAAAACGTCTATAAAGACATATCGCAGCGAACAAGTGGAGATAAGTTGGGAATTTTATCGATAAATTTTAATCTACAAAGTGGTTTTACTATTTTTCACTTGACAAATTAGAGTTTTTAACAGTTTAGGTTATATTGTTCCAATCTTGTTTACTCCTCTGAAATTTTATTTCGCTGCACAAGCTTAGATTTAAGTTTGAATTTTGTGTACAAGTTTAGATAAAAACATAATTTATTTTGTATTATTGTTGTGTATTATTAATGTATACGGTTGTTGTGTATTATTATATTATACTAATGTGTACTGCGTCTTTTTACTAATGTTTATTACATATGTGTATCATTGTGTACCGATATGTATTGCATAAGTGTATCTTTGTTACTTTGTCTACTTCCATGTTTATATCAGTATGATTCAATATGTTTGTCTTATATACATTGTGTTATAATTATGAGAGGGAAACATACGATATGAATTGGCATTATGCTCAAAATGTTGGTTTTAGGGTTCGCAAAGAGCATTCCAGTTACTAACCTTATTTAAGAAAAATAAAAACAAAGAACTTTAGCTATTTAAAAGTTGGATTTATGAAGGATATTGACTTAAATATCAATCCAAATATCAAAAATCAAATACCAGAACGAGGTGTCCCGTTATGATTAGATTTTCAGTTGATGAATATTGAGTTTTGACTATGCATAAATGTATAGAGAGTCATAACCACAAATTAGCTAGGCCGAAAGATTAAAATATGTTTAGAACATGTAAGAATATTAGTAATGAGAGAACATCAGTTTTTAAATCAATGAAAGAAGCTAGGATAAGAACCATTGATGCATTTACTTACCTAGCTGATAAAGTTAGAGGTTTAAAAATGTTAGATTCTCTAAGAGGAATGCATATAACTACATTCATAAAGAAAAAAGAGCAAAGATTTAGTATGGGGATACTAATTCTCTAATTTAACTATTTAAAGATCGACTAGTTATAACATGTTTGCATGGGACGTCCAAATTGATGAAGATGATAGATTGTTGATTTTTTTTTATTGATGGGTTGAGGATAATAAATTATGACTGTTTTGAAGTTGTGATAATTTTTTGTAATAGCTATAGGCTTAACAAATATAATTTAGCTTGTACACCCTTTGTTGAAATTAATAATCATTGGCAGAATATTTTATTAGGGTGATCTTTTTATCGATGAAGACAATTGAATCATTTAGCTTATTATTTAGAATATGTATACAAATAATAGGTGATAAACATCTCATAATAATATTTATTGATTATGACCAAGTAATGGCTAGAGCAATAAAAATTACATTACCTTATATACGTCATAAGTTGTGTCAATGGCACGTCACCAAGAAGGCTACATCCAAGTTGTGGTGCTTCAATAGCAACAATAAAGTTAAAAGGCCTTTTTTATAGGTGTTTAAGCAAGTGTGATTGTCTAGAGTAATTTGAGAGAACTTGGGCTAAAATAACCGTTGAAAGAGACCTCCATAGCCATGATTGGTTGAATAAGCTTTACAGGATCATAAAAAGGGGTCAACAACATTCAATAAAAATTATTTTAATGTTGGCATTCTTTCAACACAGAGTAAAGAGTCTGCTAACAATGGTGCCATGACATTTCGAAGCTATGAAATTCTATAGCTAATTACTTATGGGCTTAGAGAAGATGATGATGACTTGGCGTAAGAATGAACAAAAAGAAGATTTCAAATGTAGACAGATGAAAATAGTGTCTTTAATAAATAGTAGCCCAATACTAAAGCAAACTACCATTTTTTCAATAAAATAATATTCATTTTTTTAAAGAAGAATTTTTACAGGGTGTGAGTGGAATGTGTATAAATTATGCCTCAAGTGACTCATCAACGCTTTTTATCAAAAATATCGAGAAGATTGATTAGTTGATCTATTAGACTATTTATTTTGACGCAAAAGAGGGTAACATTCAATGCAGCTGTGAGAAGTTTGATATGATGGGTACAGTCTATTATGTTAACATTACGTGTAAGTTATAAGGCAGTCATATATAGTTATTTTTCTTTCGAAATATCTACTGTTGAAATGGTTAGAAAAAGCTAGGAAAGACGTTTATGCTGGTTAGCAGTTCACAGGTATGGGGAAGAGATATATCCATTCTCATGAGGGATGTACTGTTATGATATACCTAAATCATGTTAGCATATTTGCATATCAAATTAGCACATGTGCATAGGGGAATGAGGAGGCAGAGCAGTATATGTTGGCTGCAATGACTGACATGGCTAAAAATATAGACTTCATCCTAAATGGTAAAAGGAATAGCCCCATGTTTGTAGGAAACATACAAGGTGGGTTTAAAATATTGAAAGTCTCACTAAAGTACATGCTTAAAGGTATCTTTAATGCAATATTGAAGGGTCATCGGGAGAAGATAAAATGTTTAAAAATAAAAAAAGAGAGAACTTAAGATCAGACCACAACAACAAAATAGTGTACATTAGGAGAACTAGTCAGTCTGGCGAAGTTCTCAAACATATAAGAACATTTTATAAATTAATACATTCATGGTCCAT